TCTAATTATCTCACATGATATCAATATAAAATAGTGAAAACAACCACTAATTGAAATGGATAAGTCCATTCAAAATTAAAAAATAAGGATCATAGAATTCTAAGGTGGGAAAAGAAACCATATGGCTAAAACGTGGGAGAAGAAACTGGCTTCCTAAAAAAAAAAAAAGTCTACGTACAGAAATTTATCAACCTATATATATGGAATTTAATAATTAACATTTTAAATTAACAAAACACAATAATTACATGTAATCTAAATAAATATAAAAATGGTAACATAACTATTGTTTAGGCGTCTTAATCAAATTTCAAAATAGAACTAATGTTTAACCTGAAGAGTATTAGAAAATTGTAGGAAATTCTAATTTTTCAAAAAAAAAAGTTAGGAGTTTGCATAGTTGGTAATAAAACAAAAGTGGACCATAGCCAATGCGAACTTGCCACGGATCATCGTAATAAATTATTTCAAGTCGTCAGGTCGAGTGAAGCATCGCAGTGGAGAGAGAGAGCCCGAGGAGCCAAAGGCAAAGCAAAAACCCGACCTTTGGGACTCTCGGAAGGATCACCTTTCTCCCCATTTTTTCTCAACGACTCTTCTGCTTGTGATTCTCCTGCATGATCCAACTCCCCCATCACCTATATTAACTCCTCGGCCCTCATACCACCAGAAGCCCTCTCAATTCATTCATACCACCCTCGATCATCCAATCATGTCTCATTTGGCTCTCTCTCAGGTAATCCCCGGGCCCCTTTTCTGATTCCTGTTTGTTTCCCGAGAAAATGCAAGAAAAATTGAGTCATTGGTCGTTTTGTGATTACCCAATTGGATAAATAGCAGATATTTGATTAGATATGCTGTGTTTGTAATTGGGTTTTGATTGCTTTGTTTGCAGGGTTCACTGACTGTGACTGTTCCGCTTGGAAGTGATTTCTCCCTCCGAAGATCTGGGTTCAAGGTGTGATTTTTGTTTTTGGTGGTGTTAATTTCGTAAAGTTGTGTTTGTTTGTTTGTTTATTTTTAGCTTTGGTTTATAGCATTTCTTGGGTTCTCCGCTCGACCTTAGGAGCACTTTTCATGGATGAAGCTGATAGGAAAAAAATTACTGTTTAGTTTGTCTAATTCGCCTTTTTGAGGAGTGTTATGAATCTTGGTGTGCATTGTATATTAATAATTTAGTTTCAAAAGTACAAACAAACCAGCTTTAGCTATTGAATTCAAATGTGATCTTGATGTTCTGCAATGGTCGTCGATAGTTGTCGATTTTTCACTGAAACTGCTTATAATTTGGCTGCAGGCACGAAGTGTTAACTTTAATGATAAATCATGGCCTCCTATTTTACCTTTGGACTTCAAAACGAAGAGGGGACAGCTGAGAAATCAGCGCATTCTATGCATGTCAGTGCAACAAGCAAGTGCGCCTAAAGTTAATGTAGCTCCTCTACAACTTGAGGATGCTAATGAGCCCCCATTAAATACATACAAACCTAAGGAACCGTATACTGCAACCATTCTTTCTGTTGAGAGGATTGTCGGCCCAAATGCTCCTGGAGAGACTTGCCATATTGTGATTGATCATGGTGGTAATGTGCCTTACTGGGAAGGGCAAAGTTATGGTGTCATTCCTCCGGTAAATAACTCGTTGCATAGTGTTTATGTTTTCATCAATAATTGCATGATTTTTGGCCTAGAAAATTCGTTGAGAAAGTTCACTCAGGTTGTCTTTTTGAACTAATCGTGATTAAGAGATTATTTTTGGTGCATCTATGATTTGAAAATTAAGAGGATTATGTTATAATTGTTTTCATCCCCATTTGATGTTGGGTCTATCTCTTCAGTTAAACCGCATAGTTTTAAATCATGTTTCTGTCATGCTATTAGATCCATCTGCACTCCAAACGCCTCATTTGCAGTACCTTATTTATTTACTTGCATGACAGGGGGAAAACCCAAAGAAACCTGGGGCTCCGCACAATGTTCGCCTTTACTCAATTGCATCCACAAGGTATGGAGACTATTTTGATGGCAAGACAACTAGTTTGTGTGTTCGTCGTGCTGTCTATTACGATCCTGAGACAGGAAAGGAGGATCCTTCCAAGAATGGTGTATGCAGCAACTTTTTATGCAACTCCAAACCTGGTGATAAAATTAAGATCACAGGTAGGAGCCTAATTTTTAAAGAACTGTCAGACATTTTTATTGGTCCATCCTTTTCATTTTATGGATTTGGCACTTGCTGGTAGTTAAGATGCATTCCTTATCTTGTACTTAATTCAACTTATAACATGGCAGGGCCTGCTGGCAAGATCATGCTTTTGCCTGAAGACAACCCAAATGCCACCCACATTATGATTGCCACTGGCACTGGTATTGCCCCGTACAGAGGTTACCTCCGTCGCATGTTCATGGAATCTGTTCCCAAATTCAAGTTTGGCGGCCTTGCATGGCTATTCCTTGGTGTGGCCAACACTGATAGTCTCCTATATGATGAAGAATTCACCAAGTATCTCAAGGACTACCCCGATAATTTCCGGTACGACATAGCACTTAGCAGAGAACAGAAGAACCAGAGAGGAGGGAAGATGTATGTTCAGGATAAAATCGAGGAGTACAGTGACGAGATCTTTAAGCTATTGGACAACGGGGCCCACATATACTTCTGCGGGCTCAAGGGAATGATGCCTGGGATTCAAGAAACCTTGAAGAGGGTTGCGGTTGAAAGAGGGGAGAGCTGGGAGGAGAAGCTTTCACAGCTGAAAAAGAACAAGCAATGGCATGTGGAAGTCTACTGATGATGCATTGTTTCAGAACTGATTTGTGTCTCTTTCTCGAGGAAATGCTCTCAAGCATCTTATGCTAGGTAAAATTTTCGGTTTCTTTTTGCTTTGTAAGTTGCCCATTTATCAGCTTTAGCTAAGGAACCTGAGCAACAATAGCATTCATCTGTATCTTTACTCTTTAGACAAGGCAAGCTATCATCTTGGCTGAACCATTTTGAGAAACCCTTTTTATTGTCGATTGATGTTTTATCTTCTGCCTGCTGTTTAGTATTTTAAGCATTTATAAATGTAACAATCAGAAAGGTTGTCTACTCTCGTATGATCTGTAGCTGTCCAATTGTCCTGTCAACGTTCGCTGGATGATTTATTCGATTCCTGAATCACGTTTGAGGTTAGGTGATTCTAACGTCGTTTACTTGTTAAATGACACTCTTGAATTGAAAGTGGCCAAGCATTGCGGTCGCATAAATGCTTCCGTTGTACCTCTGCCTTTGATTGCATTAGCCATTGAGATTTCCTGTTTAGCTACAGAAACAGAGAAACGCTTTAATTGTTGACTGATATTTCATCATCTCTTTTCTTTGGGTGAGTGAGTGGTGGTTCATCTTTAACCTTACGTCCAGGCCATGTAGCCGCCCGACTGCTAGCGAAACACCCTACTTCTGTGTTTGCTCTCACCGCTCGCTCGTCTGGTCTCACCCCATGTGCCTGTTGCCCTATATAACGCCGGAACACAAAGAATCTCTCACAAATTTTGTGGTTGTCTTTTTATCCTGTCAAAATTTCAGTTGTCTCAAGATGACGATAATATCTTACATGATATAGGAACATTGCTATCGTGACGTTTTGCATCGATGATACAATGTTATCTGGATGAAAACATGTCTTTATATCATTGGCATGATATATTACGATAATGGTGTACTCGTGTTATGTAAGTTGTTAGTCGACTCCATTGATTGACGTTTGGCATGATTCTTATTCATGGCTTTACATTTTGTTGTGTCAATTGTCGTGATGGCATTTGGTACTATAATCTAGTGATATTTTTCTTCACTTGCAAGTGAGAGATCTTAGATTCGATTCTCGCCAAAGGTGAATTTGAACCATATTATTGCTAGCCCCATTGTAAAGCTAAGCTAACATTTTTCCCTTAGTAATATTGATTGTTAAAAAAAAAAAAAATTGTCATGATGTCATGCAAACATCATGTACTGTAAACTTTGTCAACAGAGACAACTGTCAGGTTGGAATTCATGTACAATTGGCATTGTGTCCACACTCCACACGGCTGCTTTTTCAATGCTAATTCATGATTAAATCAGGTTTAATATTTAAACATTGACATTTTATTTGCTTAAATAAAGGGAGAAAAAAAAAAAAATTACTGGTTATGACTCATGAAATTTAAATTAGAAGAATGTCAATCATTTACAACTATTTCTAGAAAGGCAATGACTCAAACCTAAATACTTAAAATTAAAAAAATTAAAAAATTGTTCAAAAATTAAAAAAAAAAAAAATTTAAATCTGGATGACCGGCCAAGTGAAATATATTAGATATTCAAACCTAGATATTGACATTGGGGGAATATTCCTAGAATCAAATGAAATTGAATTATTTTGGGACCAAAGTAACAAACTTCGTTTTTATTACTACTTACCCATTGCAGAAGTAATTGTCTAAATACTTTCGATGCGTGCAAGTAGTGAATTGTTTTTGTCGCCAACATAATTAATTTGTCTTTGATTTATTTTTCACTTGTTGGATTTCAAATTCATTATTCACGGGAGTTGAAAGTGAAACCTACCACTATAAGCAGTGGCAGAGCTGAAGGGTCATGACTACCTTCAGTTTACATGTAGCTCAACCCCTGTAGATGGAGAATAATACTATTGAATCATAATGCTAGTGACAAAATAAATATTGTTCTTAAATAAAAAACCTGACAAATTATAATTAGATATATATATTTTTTCTATTAATTAAGAAAAAATATATCTATCCACCATGATACAGGTTCAATCCCCCACTAATGTTCGTCCCCCTTAACAATTAATTATTTAAGATACAAACGTTATAACTCTACAAAAACATACATTAATAAATGAACATTTGCCCAACTGCCAGCCAACTGCCATGTTGGAAGTTGGAAGCAGCAGAGCAGAAGTGTGCTAGTTATTTTAGGGAAGCCAATTATTTATACTGCTCACATCCTCCTTGGACCATTATTGATTCATTGCGCGGATATGATCGGAGAATTTTCGAATTCTCACAAAAAGAATTCGAAAAGTATTCTCATTTCATTATTCATTCCTCCTCCTCTTATCTTACAATTTAAAATAATTAATATAATATATTCAACAAATAGAAAAACAAAATAAAATACAATAAAATAAAAATAAAACCAAAAACACAGTTGTACTTGTTTCAACAATCCTCCTCCTCCCTTTCTCCCTCCCTTTCTCCCTCTCTCTGAAGAATCAATCATTCTAAAAGGGGCATTTCCCATTTCTTCAATCCACTGGTAAATTTGCTATCTTTCTCCTCAATCTTTCACTCAATCTCCATATTTTTATTTGTCAGGTTAGTTTTTTATTTTTTGGATGATTGGTTTCTGTCATTTTCTTTTTCTGGTTATATGTGAATGATTTAGATGGATTTGGAACCTTTGATTTGGACCAAGTTTCCGCTTTTAATTGCATGCTCTAACAGTTTTGAATGAACCCATCATTTATAATTATTAATTAATTACCAATTCGTTGTTGATTTGGGTTTTGTTTCTTGTAATCATTTTTTTCATTTTGTTGCATTTGATTGGAGCTTTCATCCGTTTGGAACCTGAAAAAATCAACAAAAAATAAATAATTTGACGTATTCCATCCATTTATGAAGTTTTTGTAGCCAAGCGAAATAGTATGTTGTTCATTAATTTACTATGAATTTGATGTGGATGTTTCGATTACTGGACTGCCTTCAACTTTGAATGATGGTAAAAACCCGTCAACGATTATTGCAGATTCTCAGTGGCACTGGGAATTTCATTGGTTTCAAACTAATTTTTGCGCATATATGCGGGGGAATTTGCTTAATTTGAGCTCTACAAGATTAGCTTGTTTGGGTACTTTATGCTAAAGAAGAACAAACTTTGAAGCATTCAATTGGGTGGTGTTGTTTCGTTTCTGCAACGCTTTTGCTCAGGTTGATTGTTTTACTTTTCTTTTTCAGGTCACTGTGTCCTGATTACTTGAAAAGAACAGGCTTCACCCAGTGCATGATCGTAATTTACTAACGGAGCAATGAATCACCGTCCAATGGATCTTGGGAGGCCTGCCTCAGGTATGCTTGTAAAACTTGATTCAAACAAGAGAAATATATTATGAATAGGGTCTTATAAACTGTGATTTTTAGGTATTATGAATTATGCACCATAATTACATATAATACTGGGGTTAAGGAAAGGGACTTTCTGTTGTTTGTGTACTAGTCACTGGACTGTACAACTTTTCTTACTGTGGTTTATAGAACTAAATCTGTACATGTTTGGCATAAAAAAAGAAAGTGTCTTTTTGCCTTCTTACTTTAATCTAGAAGCTGAATGACATGCATGTTCAATTCAATGCAGGTAAAAGAAGATTAAAAGATTTATTGGTGCAAAAAGATAATCGCAATTGTGCTGATTGTAGTGCTCCTGATCCTAAATGGGCGTAAGTTTTTTCCCATTGATACAACTTTGTATCGGTTTTTGTATGGCACCAAGTCAATTTGAGACATGCTTGTTTCGTGAGTAAGCTTCAGAGCTTAACGATGACGGTGTCGTGTAAAGCTATTAGTTGACATCCCAAATTCGGATACACATGTTTCAGGACGTTTGAAAATAAATGTATATTCTTAGGACAGTTTACTTTCCATCCTATATCCTTCTGACTTGGAAGGTATCCTGTTCGTAACTGCATTTGCAGGTCAGCAAACATTGGAGTTTTTATATGCTTAAAATGTTGTGGTGTGCACAGGAGTCTTGGTACTCATATATCAAAGGTAACCGCTCCTGATTGCTAGATGCATCCAATTTAAATTTTTATAATGGAAACAATTTGCCAGTTGAAACCATGAAACTAGCTAGGGACACTCATACTTTGGAGTTTTGTTTGCAGGATTGTTATATAACTAAATTTAAACAAACAAAATTAACGATACAAAATCCACTGACCAAAAGGGAACTTGTAACTCGGTGAACGAAATAACTGATTGATCCCAATCTGCTTTCATCAAGGAAGTTCATTTGATTGTTCATCCTTGGTTGTTTGAGTTGCAATGCAAGGAAACTGGGAAAGTTTATTTCAGTCCTTTTACCAAAAAAACCTCTCTTTGGCTTCCTTCTTTCGTTTCTAGGATGACAGGCATGGTAGAACTATTTCAGGCTTGCTCGGTGATCTGTCAATTGTTGCTTAATTGATCAATATTCATTATTATTTTATGTTTTCTATATGCTGATGTGATGTCTCCAGTCGTGTGCATTATTACAATTATATATTTGTCTTAAACAACATGAATTGGAAATGTTCAGGTTTTGTCAGTGACCCTGGATGAATGGTCTGATGATGAAATTGATGCAATGATAGAAGTTGGAGGAAACTCTTCTGCTAATTCAATTTACGAGGCTTTTATTCCTGAGGGACTTTCAAAGCCTGGACCAGATGCCGGACATGAGGAACGTTCAAAATTCATCCGGTTAGTTATGATATAGAATTCTAGAATCTACCATGGAGCAGATTCAATTGTTGGGTTATTTTTCAGATGTTTAAAGTAGTCACGTATTCATGTAGGTCAAAGTATGAGCTTCAAGAGTTTCTGAAACCTAGCTTGCGGATTAACTCAGGTCCTTCTAGAAAGAACTCTCTCCAGAGCACTCTCCAATCAAATAGTTTTTCTCGAAAGATTATCGATAGTTTCCGTTCAAATTCTTCACAGAAATCGGTAAATATTGTCACGCCTTATGTCTGCCTTTCAATTATGTAGTTTGAGTATTAAAATATAACTTTGTTCCATTCTTGAAATATGCAGCAGGAAGGCATGGTAGAATTTATTGGTTTATTGAAGGTTAAGGTGATTAGAGGCACAAATTTAGCCATTCGAGATATGATGACAAGCGATCCTTATGTCATCCTGACTCTTGGGAAGCAGGTTAATAATTCTTCAATTTTCTTTTCCCTTGGTATTGAAACTACAGAATCTGCTTGATACGCAGAAGCATGTAGAATTTATGAGATCCCTTTACTTCCTAGCCTCCTGGTTACCTTCTTTTATTTGAGCTTCATGTCAAAGTGAACATCCAAAATATCCCCAGGAGAGATATTAGAGAGAGAAAAACAGGGTTTGGAGGGACGAAAAGAGGGGATCGGGGGGAGAGAGAGAGAGAGTTCATCTTTAATTTTTGAACATGGGGGTAAGAACAAGGTTGTTGACACATGTGAACGGCTAGATTTGATTAAGCGTATTAGCCTACTTATAGATTGCGAACTAATATGTTAATAAGAGAATTTGAATTTCTATTCACTTAAGACTGACATTTCTTTATTTGATGATGACAATGTTGGTGATAATGTAGACTCTTCGAACGACTGTAATAAAGAGTAACTTGAATCCCGTCTGGAATGAGGAACTCATGCTGTCTGTACCTGAGCGATTTGGAGCTTTACAGTTGGTACGCATATCTATGCCTTTTTTCCTCTTCATCTTTGCAAACATTTTGTTTTTGATGTCATGTTTTACTCTGCCTTCTCTTTGTACTCGTACGTGGATAACGCTCTCTCTCTCTCTCTCTCTCTCTCTCTCTACACACACACACACACAAATTAAACCTAGGTTGCTATATGTTTCTACAACTTGCTTAGCCGTTCATGGTAGAATAGCCATTCTTGTTCTCATTCTTCCATACTCACCGAAAGCAGTCACGTCAGCCTCCCGCTATTCCTATGTTAAATGTGATAACAAAATTTGTGTTGATGACAAGGAAAACTTTGATGCAATCTGATTGCTTCCGAAAGGTTTTCCTTTTATCCTTTTTTCACCTGTAAATTGTGGTATACACGGATCGCAGATTAGCCTCTGCCTCTGGTCTAAACAGAACCCTTTATGTATTACATGGGAAGTATTTTACGGAAATCCTCCTGCTTGTCACATTGCAGCAGGTGTTTGATCACGACACGTTCTCGGCTGATGACATAATGGGAGAAGCAGAGGTTGATCTTCAGCCATTGATAACATCTGCGATGGCATTCGGGGATGCAGGAATGTTTGGGAACATGCAAATCGGGAAATGGCTGAAGTCGCACGACAATGCACTCATAGACGATAGCACTGTTAACATTGTCGACGGGAAGGTAAAACAGGAGGTGTCTTTGAAGCTCCAGAATGTTGAGTGTGGAGAAATAGATTTAGAACTAGAGTGGATGCCCCTTGAGCAATAGGTAAACGATTTAATTATTTTTTGTCCATCTTATTTAATAAAAACCTGTAATTTTTGGTTGAGTTATATATATTTTTGTACGGAACGGCATCATACACTTATCTCCATTCTTTTGCACTTGTTTATAGAAATTCAGTTGTCTCTCTGGTTAATGGATTGCCGTTTAAAAGGACAATCCCAAACCAATAAGGCTCCTTGCTTTTGCAAGGGTTCCTTCTGGTTTTTTTTGGTTGTTGTGGGGGAGGGGGGGGGACCTCTATCATATGCGGTCTTATCCTTTGTTGTTTTTGTTTTTTTTTTGCAAAGAGATTGTTTCCACGAACGACTTGACAACATGTTTACTTGGAACCGGGAAAGTCATGGTTCGGGATCAACTAGTACCACCTAATTGATCTGATTCTTGATTTTTAAATTTTAAGTAGTAAACGCAGAGGAGTCAAGAAATAAGATAATTTCAATACTCATGCTTTAGTAAACGTAAAGAGGTTTTAATAAGAACTAATTAACGGGAAGAAAGGTATCACTAAACCGAATCCGATTCTTTGGAAAAGATCCGACGCAAATAACCATGTTCTTTGGTTGTTTATCATTATCTGATTTGTATGCCAAGGACCCCATGAAATGAATGGCGATGGAGATTGAATTGAAGGCAGGCGTTCTTAAGTTCATTATGGTCTTCGATTCTTTGTGACGTGGACCACAAACTACCCCAAAGTCAACCATGTCATGTGACCTGGATTATAACCTCACCAGCCAACATAACGAGGATCCTGAGAATTCTCAAATTGTATCCGTTTATCGTACATCATGCGATCAATTTTCGTCGAATACTATTCATATTTAATTTTAAATAAAATTATTTAAAATAATATCTAACCGCACGATGTACGATAAACGTACACGATTTGAAGATTCTCAGGATCGTCATTCCAACCAACAATAGCCCCTCCATTTCAAACATTAAAATATTTTAATTCATAATATATATATATATAAAAGAAATATTAAGAAGATTTTCTCAAAAGTAAAATTCTTCATAGACTTTATGTCACCTTTACGTTTTTAGCATAATATTTATGATATTAACACAAAATTAACAATAAATTATAAGGTAACAAAAAGTTTATGAAGAGTCTCCTTCGCATTTCTCATCGTATATATCGGAACATACCACGAGGATGCATAGTTCGCATTCTCTAACAATTTAATGCCACATAAAAGCTATACATCGATACATTACCAACCTAGTGTAACTATAATTTAAATCTTAAAAAAAGTATGCAACATAAACCACTGTTTTCATGGTATTTACCACAGAGTGATTCGGAAAATCAACGATTTAAATTTTCGATATAAAATTTAGAGATCTTGCAATAATTAGATCATTGCTATGCCGTATCGTTACAAACGATTAAAGGTCATCTCCTCATATTGTTTGAGGAAACAATTTTGATCATCAAGGCTACAAATCCTTGCAAGCCAGTGCTATGAACTTCACTAATTAAAACTTTTATCCATTTGGAGGTAAGGAAATGTAAACTTGGAATACGTTCTACTAACTTCGTGATAAAAAGTATCAATTGAATAAAAGTTGATTAATACTAAAAAATGTTCAGTAGATTTCGGTTTATTCAAGTTGTTTAGAGCGCTATATATCTCTTTGCACTAAAGTTTGAATTCCGCTTTATTTATCAAAGTTTAGATAAATTTAATGTAAATAAAAATGTGGAATATCCTCTATCACATATGATTCACCTCTTAATTTTATTTACATGAAAAAAAGTGGAAAAAAAAAAATTGAAGGGAAAAAATCCAAAGAACATTAGTTATTTCTTGATATAATTATTACCTCACGATGACGGAGCTTCTGACGGTAAAGATTTATGCTTTCGGTACCTCAAGACGTAAACGAAAGCAGAGGCCACAAACAGAGCCACGCCGGCAATCCCACAAAGCAAGCTCGCCACCAGCAGCACGTCCCTCACGAGATCCCTACCCCTCCCACCGTCACGTGCCACCACGCCCTTCCACCACGACTCGTCGCTCGAGTTCATCGCCTTCGGCTTCGGCTGTGCCGCGTCGCCCGCTGCCGGCGAATTCTCTCCTCCTCCTCCTCCCCCGACGAAGAACGACTTTTCTTCCGTCGGCGACTTCGCGCTCGCCGGCGCCTGGTCCTGGTACACGAGGCCGTGGTCGGACGGCCGCAGCTCTCGGCCGTCCGATTCCATCGCCACCGCAATCAGAAACACCGCGATCGCTGCTACACCAATTTCGATGAGAAACGCCATTTCTCTCCCTCTCTTCCTCTTCCTCCGTCTCGAGAGGGCTCAGGTCCAGCGACGCAGTCGTTTTATAAGAGTATGAGCACCAATAAGCGATAAGTCTAAAGTTTGTTGTCGTTCGTCGGAGACGAGTGGGGAGTGAGCGGCGGTCGTGCTCTCTGTCTCTGTCTCTCTCTCTCTCTCTCTCTCGAATTGGCAGAACTCAGAAGTCAATATATATGGCTTCAATTCCTCCAAACGTCGTCGTATGATTTGCTGTACTCTGCTATTAACCATTCACAGGCTCGCACGCCAACCTAAGTCACATGCACTTTTTCTACTTTTTTTTGGATTTTACTTTTTACACCCGGTAAATAATAAAAGAAGAAAAAGGGCATAATTTCATCAAGAACAAATGGGAAATCTTATTCTTAATCACGTTCTGTGATTAGTATTGGATTTGATAGCTCACTAGAATCGGAAAAAAAAACTTGATTAGATTGTCATCAATAGTCTTACAATCATGTGGGTTGCTTACAATTTAGTCTCATTTGATTCCATACGACTTCATTTAAGATATACGATATCCTTATCAATTAGCTGTACTGATATTTTTACTCAGCATTGGTTTGATATTGTTGTGCTTTGAAAAAAAACTGTTTTTGCTGTGCTGTAAGAATAATCTCATTTTTGCTGCTTCACGTTTTCAGCTTTTTTTTTCATCCAAAACTGTGAAAATAAACTGTTTTTAAGTGTTTACCAAATATCTTTTTGAGCTCAACTTTTTTTGATACCTACTTTTTATAAAAGCATCACAGTACCAAACCAGTACTTAGGCTCACAATATGCCAGAGGAAGAAATAGAAGTCAAGTACTCAGTTTGTCTAGTTGAATTAGAGAATGGACCAGTCTCGGATGATGACTTGAATAATTTTAAAAGTTGGCCTTCGACCGATTTAACATATTTAAATTTTATGAGATCCAGAATTCAATCTAATCTGAGACATTAAACATAAGCACGATGCATGACATGAAAAGATGGGTGTGGCTGTTAATTTAGGTATAGCAACTTTTATCTGTTGTGACGGTGAAGCTTTTGCTTTGTATTATTGTAAAGTTTGGATTCTGGTTTTAGATTCAAAGAATCGTATTATCTCTTTTTGTAGAGCTTGATAAGAAATAGTCGTATTTCATTCGTGATGCCAAAAGTAGATTGTCACGGTTTGCTTTATCGTGTTATTAATATTATATGTGATGGGAGATGACTTTAGCTTTATCCATGGGATTTGGATCCTTCCAAGGTAACTGGTCGGAATTCTCCTAATCAATTTTAGTGGATCGTTAGATTTTTATCCAACGGTTACAAACATGGAGACCCTTTAAAAATTATAATAATTATAATTATTGGATAAAAATCCAACGGTCTAATAATACTGGTTAAGAGGATCATGACCAGAGGATCCAAATCCTTATCCATGCGCAGTATTTGGAGGCTCAACATTTTTTTATTTTTTTTATTAATATGGGCTTTTTTTTTTGGGTAAATTATTACTATGGGCTTAACTTTGATGCTAAGTTACTCCCAACATGATCCTCTCGGATCATTTTGATGATGATCCTGAGGATTTGTGTATGTTCATTGTATATTGTGCGGTCAGTTTTTGTCAAGTATTGTTTACGTTTATTTTTAAATAAAAATGTTTAAAATAATTTATAGCCGCACAATGTATGATAAACGGATACGATTCACGAATTCCCAGAATCCTCACAAAGAGGTTCCAGCGAGAATCCGGACTCAAGTTACTTCTCCTTCATTGTTTTTGTGCAGTAATAATAGCTATGCACACCTTCTTTTCTTTTTCCTCCTTTAAATTCTAAGAAAAAGGAGAAAAATCAAACTTTTACGGTAGATAAACTTTCATTCACATGATTTTTTTTTTAGCGCAATTTTTAAATCAACCACGTACTGTTACGTAAGAAAGTTAAAACATTTTAATAACAAAACGAACGCACAATAATAATTGAATGACTTAAAATATTATCGGTGTGGTAACATAGCTGCTGGGAGTTTCTTCATAACTTAGCTATTATGTACCAAAAGATAAGATAACTTGAAATCCAGTCTTCCAATGGCACTCTGCTCTGACCTCTCTTTCTCTCCCCGCTCCTTCTTTCAAACGGAATTCTCAGAGTTTCACAAAAGAACAGCAATTTTAGTAGATTACTAGTTTGCACCCTAGAGAAATGGGTAATTACTCACAGGCCCACATTTGCCAGTGCATGAGCCTCCTATCTACTCTCCGGCGCAATTCAGTGGTCATGGTCACCGGCAACCGCCAAAAGACGGGCAAGGAGTTCGTGGAGGGTGCCATGGAACTGGCCCGAGGCCTGCTTCCGCTCGGCATACGTTCTGGTGACGTCGTTTCGATTGCTGCCTTCAACAGGTGCTGCTTCGCTTGTAAGATGCTTTTTCAAAGATAGTCAATCCTAAGGACTCGTTCAGGATTTTAGGAAGCACTTCTACTCGTAATTTTACCAGAAGCGAAACAAACATTTTACCAAAATTCAAACGTTTCTTTAAAAAGCACTTTTGCTCATAACGTTATTAGAAGCACACAAAACATCTCTTAAAACTTCTAGAGAAAGCTGAAAAAGTGCTTTTATCGTCCATAAACACATTTAGTTATCTCTTTTAATTACGTTAGAAGCGCTTTTGGTAATCTGAAAGCACTTTTAGCCTTTCCAAAACATGGCTAAAGTACTAATATTTGGTTTCGTTATGATCAGTGAGTTGTATTTGGAGTGGTTACTAGCCATTGCATATGTTGGTGCCATAGCTGCTCCTCTTAATTACCGATGGGTAAGTAAGTAAACTTTGAAACCATAATTTTGTCAATTACTTTTCTGTAACAAAATCTGACCCAACATCTGTTTAATTTGTGTTTTCATCCCTGCAGAGCTATGAAGAAGCACTTTTGGCAATGGAAGTAGTGAGGCCAGCAATGTTAGTGACTGATGATAGCTGCATCCCTTGGTACTCAAAGCTTCAACTTCGCGATATACCTTCTCTGAGGTGGCATGTTTCGGTGGATTCGCCTTCCTCGGATGTCTTAAGGGCTTCGAATAATCGTATGTAGTTTCTAAGACATGTATTTCACATTTAGAAAATTGTAATGAAAACCAATTGGGTTAATGTGTTCATCTTCATTCTTCATTTGGCCAGTGTTAACTACTGAGTCGATTAAAAAGCATTCCGTAGGAGCTGCGCTGCCATTGAACTACTCCTGGGCACCTGACGGGGCTGTGATCATATGCTTCACTTCTGGCACGAGCTCTCTCTACTGTGTTTATTTGTTCTCAAAAGATTTTTTAGGATAGTTGTAAGATAATCCGGTCACTAATTTGTTTTAGTTATCGATTTGTTCTTGTTAAATATATAGGAACCTCTGGAAGGCCAAAGGGAGTTACCCTAAGCCACTCGGCTTTTATCATACAGTCCCTAGCAAAAATCGCTGTTGCTGGCTACGGTGAGGATGATGTACGCAAGTGTTCTTTTCGTAGTTTGCAGTTAGGTAGTAGAGAATGCTTGGACTAGGTTTTTGCACAAAAGCGGGGTTTGAACAAGATTCAGCCAGCAAAATTGAACGACTTCTTACCGTTGAATTGTGTGGATATCTGCAGGTTTACTTGCATACTGCTCCATTGTGCCACATTGGTGGGTTGTCATCAGCCCTGGCAATGCTAATGATCGGAGCACGCCATGTCTTGATGCCCAAGTTTGAGGCTAAATCTGCCCTCGAAGCCATTGAGCGACATAGCGTGACTTCTCTGATCACCGTTCCTGCAATGATGGCTGATTTGGTTTCTAAATTCAGGTAAATGATGACCCTTTTTTCTTTCTAAGTAATGCACGCACGAGTCCAAAGAAGATTGACTTCCAAAGCCTTGTACTTTGCATCGCTTAGTGTTGTACTTTCGATTTGTACTGTGCCTTGCGGCCATTGTTTTTCGGTGTTCATGTTCTGGAATCTGTCAGGGGGAAGGAAACATGGAAAGGGAGGGATAGTGTGAAGAAGATATTGAATGGAGGTGGAGGCTTGTCAATTGAGCTGACCAAAGCTGCCATTAAATTGTTCCCACAAGCTAAGCTTCTCTCAGCTTATGGTAAGTTCTCTTCATCCAGTAGGTTCCCTCGTTATTTAGAGATCGTCTGGCGTCTAGGGTTGAATTTGATTGGTTTTACGAGTTATCCAATCCAATTTAGTCCTAGACACTAGACGAGCCATTAGTCCTCGAAATTGATTCGAATCTTACGATTTTGTCTCTCCTTACCTTCCGATAACTTAAGGAATGACGGAGACATGCTCGTCATTAACCTTCATCACTCTGTATGATCCAAGCGTTGACAACTCTGGCGGCCCTCCACGGTTGAATGATGAACGAAAACTGCATTCAGCTCATGAAGAAAGGGGTGTTTGTGTTGGGAAGCCGGCTCCTCATGTGGAACTAAAGATCTCGGTCGATGGCTCCTCTCATGTGGGAAGGATCTTAACTAGAGGTCAACATGTGATGCTCAGATATTGGCACGGAAGTCCACCAAATGAGTCAGTTTCCGGCAATGAAGTATGGTTTGACACCGGCGACGTTGGATCCGTTGATGACTATGGCAATGTGTGGCTAATCGGACGAGCAAACGGTCGGATCAAGAGCGGAGGGGAGAACATTTACCCTGAAGAGGTACGTGAGCCTCGAAGTTACATATAACCGGCGCATACAGTCAAAATTTTTTTGTCGCGGATTCACCAATTTAGAAAAAGTATATTTACTTATTTCATTACTTATCTCCGATCCGTAGGTGGAGAGAACCTTATTACAACATCCAGGGGTAACCGGCGTTGTTGTCGTCGGAATTCCGGATTCTCGTCTCACCGAGATGGTTGTTGCGTGTGTTCAAATAAGAGAAGATTGGCAGTGGATGAATACAACCATCAAACACTCTGTCTCAAAACAAATGCCACACATCTCCAGTGAGATTCTTTGTCAATATTGTAAACAAAAGAATTTGACGGGGTAAGGAGCCAAGCAGTGTTCTCGAATTTCTCGTTCTAGCTTCATGCGGAAAATTTTGTGCACGTATGCAATTACAATATAATGGTTGACATTAATCTTATGATCTTTGCAGGTTTAAGATACCAAAAATATTCATTTTATGGAAGAAGCCGTTTCCGGCGACTACGACCGGAAAGATCAGAAGAGACCAAGTCCGGGGAGAAGCTGTATTTCATCTGCAACATTTGAATAGCAATCTATGATTCTATTTTTCAACAGGAAAAAGAAAAGTTGGAATTTTCGGTTGGTTGTCATTTTAATTAATCAATAGGAAGGATATGTGGCACAACTTTTTTTTTACATTTATTTTTGTAGGACTTCTTCCGTAATATATTTTAACGATTCGAATCATCTATCATTTACATTTTCCTCAAAGATCATGTTCATTAAAAATCCAAATCTAACCTATATGACCATTGAACTAGGAGTTATGATTTCTTTGTAGAACCGTATTCGTTCATTTTATTTATTACAAATGAATGCCTCTGTGGTTTTGAATTTGTTCAACTTTTTGCAAAAATAATCTGTGAATGATGTTCTAAAAGATAGACGGTTCGAATCGTTAAAATATATTACAGAATAAGTTGCACAAAAACGTGTCAAATGTTTGTGTAAAAAAAAGTAGTGTTACGGATCCGTTGTCTTAATTAATTTATTTATTTTATGAAAGAGAGTTTTAACTTTACAACAGAAAGCAGCGCTGAAACAAGCATGTAGTATTTTCCCCCCAAAAAAAAAAACAGACATATGTAGTATTGCTATCTAAGTGGACTCTAAAACTTCTTCCAACCATGTAAGGAGGAACAAGTGACCAACTCCAGACGAGGTTTTAGCTCGGCACCTAGACAAAAAGAATCGAATAACAACTATACTTCAAAAACCAAGCTCACTAATTTTGATTTTCGCACTGCCCCTGTTGGTTGCAAACCATTTCACATCTCGTTCCTTCATCAAATTTTGCTTCTGCAACTGTCTCTCATACGGGATTTATATCTCCAGGCTCCTCTAACTTTTTCTTGGATGGTTGTTTTGACAAAGGCGATGAATTGCCTACAACTACTCTGCTGACACTGCGTCACACGAAAGATGCAAGGGCGAGATCATTAAGAGTATTCGACCCAACAGTCTCAAATAAGTAAAATTTATACACATTTATAGGAGTTATGTGACATGGTGAGCTGTTGTCGAAAGACGAAACCATTAAATTGGAAACCTTACCAAGGCAAAAGGGTATATCAAGCTGCTTTAATTTCTCCAGTTAATTCTCTTCTTATCAGCTTCAAGATTTCAGTTATCTGCAAACGCAAGAGAGAAGACGTGATCAACATACAGATGTGTTATTTCCGCTCATCAAAGCATTCACCATACTATATTCCCACTAATTCTTACAAAATATACAAGGGCCTATTTGCAGAAGCGCTTTTGTTAGAAGCACAACATTTTTATTATAATTCAGAATCAATTATAAGTTTTTATTAACTTTCATGCTTGGGATAAATTTCTGTCATTTCCGCCAATTTTAATTGATATTTACACCGACATCAATCTTTTTGCAATACATTCATATTGTACACCGGTTCCCCTGAAATCTAGAAGCTATACAGAGCTAACATGATCAACCAATGAATATAAGAAAGCATCTTACTCCAGGATAATGCTTCAATACTGGTGAATAATGATCAAGAGCAATGTATATTTTCTCAACAAGGCTCAACAGAGTCCCCACCTCATCCCCCAAAAGATCAACCTGAAATTCAATGACAAAACCTCAATTATAACAAACTACAAAAGCTATCTTTGATTCGTACTCAGAAGTTCATCTAACAATATACTTAAAGATGTAATTCCTTTTCTTGCATTACAAAATTACAACATAACACTGTGAAACAGAAGTCATTTCAGGGTCAGTAATGGAAGATAACTTCCAATCATATTTACACTGTTCTGTCATCCAGCAGGGCATCTCAAACAGCTTCTTCCACATGTATATGCAAGCATCAATTCAATTCCATGGGTTTTATAGCACGAAATATAATATGACGCCAAAACATCAAGTTGGAACATATGAATGCATAATACTTATCTGATTCGAATTCACATACCTCAGCTTCTGCCGTTTCAAGGTCAGAGCATTTCTTTTCGAGTCTCTGCCGGTACAGCAAACCTCTTCTTACAATGACATTAGCTTTTTGTTTAAGAAAACGCAATTGAGAACTCAAACTCTTCAACCTGGAAACAAGGCCACAGGTACATTATGAGGGTTCCGAATGTAGAAACCCATTAGATTAACAAAACATCACCCCATCCAGGAATCATATAAGAATGTGGAAGCAAATCTATTGACAGAACTAGAGCACAAAAGAATTTACACGAAACAATAAGAGATAAAAATAACTGAGCAAGTACCTTGAACATTTCCTTGAAATATCTTGTGTTACTCGACATTCAAATTCAGCAACCCCTTTCAATAATTCACGGATATACACAGCCGTTGATTCCAATTGCTGCTTGTGTTCCCTTTCTTTTGCTTCCAACAAAGATAAAACATTCTGCTTCTCTTGGTTTGCATCAAGAAGCATTCTCCTCTCCTCATTAACTTCGCTTAACTCCTTCATTGCTAGTTCAAGCTTCTGATCTAACATGCACATGTCAGCCTTATGTCTTTCAATTTGCTCCAATGCATCAGTTAAGTTCTGCTTTGTAGCATTTGACTCTTCAATGCTGTCAGAAATCAATTTCTGTTGCCGACATGTCTCGTCCCTTAAATTATGTAGCTCCTGAGCAGCTAATTCATATCGCACCTTTTCGTTTTCCAATGCAGCTGTTGCATCCTGCGCCAACTGCTCCTTTTCTTCGGACAGAGATAATATTTCTTGCTTTAATCTCACTGTGTTTGCAACCTCCACTTCACATTGTTTCTCTTTTTCTAGTTTTTCTATCTCAATCAAAACCCGGAGTTCATTTTCTTCTATATATTTCAAGTTCAGGTTGTTGAGATTTTTCTCAGCATCTTTCATGACTTCTTTGAATACAAGTACACATATTTCTTGCCTGATAGTGTACTCCATACTCAAATCTTCAATTTCACATTGGCTAGCAGGTTGAGCACTATGGGCAGCTTCTTTAAGTATACTTTTGTAGATTTCTTGCATATAAATATTTTCCATATGTGACTCTTCAGCGATACAATTAATTTGATCCATCATTCCCCTGAGAATACAAGCATATGTATCTTCAACAATTAAAGCTTCAATATCCGCATCTTTAACAGCTGATTTAAGATTAGCCGTTGTTTTTAACAACTTTGCCTCAGCCATGGAATGTTCTGACATTTTCTTAGCAGCCTCAGAAACTTGAAGTGAAAGACACTTAACTTCCCTTTTCTTATCTGCAAGCAAATATCTGAGGTGCTTATTTTCTGAAATGAGTAACTCCAGTCTGTCTTTCAAACTGCTAAGACTTTCTTCATAAATACCAAATGTAGCCATGCCCGCCTTGTCAACAAGCACTTCATCTAATTTAGTAATAACCTCAGAGATTCGCCTCCTCAACAAGTCAAACTCCTTACTCTTCTTTGATGGCAAAGAGGATCCCCTTTCCCTGAAAAATTCTCTTCTGAGGCTGAATAGTTGCTCAGTCAAATTTAGCACTTCAGATTCATGACTTCTCTTCAATTTAATCATCTCATTATTGTAATAGTTTGTCAACTCATCTATTGACATATGCCTAAGCCGGGTGGCATTCAAATGTTCTTGCATTATTTCTGACTCATCATGTTTTCCATTTTCTTCCCAAAGAGATGATGATGATGATGATGTTGATGTTGATGTTGAAGTTGAAGTTACTGTTGATGATGATAGCAATGATGATGAAACTTTGCGATGCAAACGGTCACCCTTCTTATAATTATTACTCTCTTCATCACCTTCCAAGGACCCGTGAGAAGATAGGTGCCCAATGTCAGAAATAGATAGTGATTTTGAAATGGAATCTAATTCCTCACGTAAACTTGATATCTCTTCCATCCTTCCAAGCCAGTGCAAATTCCTATCGCCATGAAACCGATCCAAATTTTTTTCTTCAACACTCCAGATACAATTCCTCATCACCAGTGCTTCTATTTCTGCTTTAAAATCCTGCTCCTGCTGCCATTCACAGACTGATGCCTTTGCCGAGCTAACCATTCCTTCCACCCGTTGAAAGACAGTTTCTATTGTACCTTTTAGGCTATCGAGCAATCTATCCACATCAATCCATCTGTCAGATACATTATCTTGCAGTATGTCACCGAAACCCAACAACTGAGAACCAGAACCAATCCTCTTGATCAAACTACACCCTCTAATCCCATCAATTTCATTCTTGAGCTTCCTGAAGTGCTCTTCAGTTGTTCCTCTTAAGATGCCCAAAGTTTTTTCAATGCCATCATGCTGTACGACAGCTTCAAGAAAGCTAGGACGCATGCCACCTTTGGCACCTTTTTAATAGGTTTGTCTTCAGTTCCTTTTGACTCTCGCTGCATGGGTGAGAATTCGTTTTCATCACCACCCACATGGTAAACATGTAACATTTCCTTCAGCTTAGTCACCTCTAGTTCTTTTTGAGCAATTTTCTCTGCTGCGTCGTTGGTTACTGCATTAACAATCCCCTTGATGACTGAGTCACTCACCATCCTCGATATGGTCAACCGGTCACTGATTTCTTCCCAATAAGAATCCAAATCCTGGAGAAGGTCAAGATCCCGATTATCATTTTCTTTCACATCATTGCTAAGCTGAACAGAATCTCCATTGCATGATTCAACACCGTTACTCATGACTTCTAAACTCTCCATAACTTCTTCGGTTCTTCACACATATAAAATGAACATCACCACCAAGACATTGCAGAGAATAACCACTACCAATATACAATCCCCAAAAGGTTAATCACTTCGTCCTCAACAATTACCAATACACTGCGCAGACCCGTTGAACTGCAAAAGTTTAAAAAAAAAAAAAAATTATGAAAAATCACAATTAAAAAAGTCCCAATAACTATAATCTTGTCGACTCAACTAAATTTCATGAAAATGTGAATCAAATCACAAAGGAACCTGCTTAAGTGCTAATAAAAATGGAAGAAAACATAAGATAAAATTGTAACAAGTCATTTAAAAAAATGCAAAAACAAATATACACCCACACACACACACCCACACATATATCTCTAAGTCTACAGTCTTTGAAAATTTTTTCATTTCTAGTAACATACAAGTTAAGCCAGCAAAAAATGCAGTACGCAATTCAAATTATCTTAATACTTCCACTTTCTCACCAACCAAACAGAGCTAAAACAAGCTCAAAGAACAAAACGAACTACAAAATTCAGCTTTTAGACTATTTTCTCACCAGCCAAACAGAGCTTCCACGAAACCAATTCCAGGATACCAAAAAAAATAAAAATAATTAAAAATCCAAAATTCCTAAAAATGGAAGCACAAAAAAAAAGCTACTTACCAACGAAGAAGCTGAATCCACCGGTGATACTTCAACTGGTAAAAATCAACGGCCAAGGAGAGTTTGAAAATCCCGAGACGACTGTGAATTTTGGGCAAAGCTGCTTGTTTTCGTCTGAACGGAAACTTCTCTAATTCTCTGATTTTTTAGGGTTCATGGACAAAGAGAAAAGTTCAGGGCTTTGGGGTGGATTTGCGGAGCGGGAGAGGGAGGCTATGTGTTTGACCCCGTTGTTCTCCATAATTACGAGGGTTGACCCAGCTTTAGAATTGGTGCCTAAATTTGCGACGTGACGTAAGCGTATAGTTAATTTGTTCTTATTGGAAAGAGATCTGCTCCGGAATTCTTCCATCAAGATCATCGGATCAAATGATCCGGATTTTTGAAATTTCATTCAACGACCTATCTATTTTGATTCATTAAAAATTATAATAAATTTCTGCTGTTATATGAAATTTCAAGGTCCTGATCACTTGATCCGGTAATCTTAATGGAAGATATCCGAAAATGATATCCTTTCGTTTTTATTATACTGTTATTGGACTTTTTTTTCTGATCAGTTCATATTTATTTTCAATTTTTGGTTGAGATCCCATACTTCTTGATTTGAGAACTATATAATGACCAGGCCAGAAGTTATGATTTTTAGCCGTTGGATTTTCAGTTAAGGATTTAGGGGTCAAGACTTTAGAACAATTACATGGGTCGATTTATTCTAGAATTTTCGTAAATATAAACATTTGTTTTTGTTAATGCTGATGGTGGATTCAACGTTGCCACCTTTTCAAAATATGGAAAAGAATATATATCAGCAGCACATTAAGAGTTAGCTTGTATCGACTAGCATTCGAAGTAACGATAGTTTTCTTCACTTGACGTTGTGTTTGACTTACATGGGCAAGAGAACAACATATATTTGTAATGACTTTGATATTTGTTAGGAGGTAACTTTATTTTGTAGTTTGTGAAAAAAGAAAGGAGTTAGCATATCCAAAAATTAAACATCTGCGGAGTTAAACGTGACTTTATGTTTGATTATCGTCAAAAACGAATTTGAATCACGTTTTTGTTTGTCTATTCTAAGGCTAAACCTACAATTTCTCCTTTAGTGTAGATAATAGTTTGTTTTTTAAAAATGTGACTTTGCCACTTAGTACTATCATTCAGTGGTATTCATTTTAATTTGTAAATGATAGATCTTAGGTTCAAGTCTCACCAAAGACGAATTTGAACCAAATTATTGTTAAGCCATTGTGAGACTGATCTCACCTCCTCCCTCTTAGTGTAGAATAATATTGTTTGTTAAAAAAAATGACTTTAGGTAATTTAAGGACCAATGGGAAGTCACTGAATGGTGCTCAAAATTTAATTTAGGTAATTTAAAAAGAATGGAGGTGGTCACATGTAATTAAGTTTTCTATTAGATGATTAATTTAGTTGAGGCGCATCCTACCGTTGGTGTAAGACCAAGATTTAAGTCAAGAATCTTTACAAGTGTTTTAGTTAATCTAAGCAATCATGTTTGTATCATCACAAGTGCTGTCTCTTTCTGCTTTTTATTTTATATGATAATCATTCCCCCTACTTAACTTTAGTTTAAATATTTAACTTGTTGTATTTTGTATTGAGATCCTCTCTGGATTTTTTTGACTGGAACTCATGGACTCAAAAACGGACCCCCTCAATTTAAATATTGGGACCCCATCAGTTACTGGCTCACTTCACATAAAACCAAGCTTTTGAACGACTTGAATCTCTCCCTCTTTTGAACAGTTTGGATTTCGAGTCCCTCGACTCCGAACACAGAGGTCCGGCGGATCTCAACTCAAAATCTAGTACACCTGACAGACAAAGTATCATTAATCCCATTAAAAATGGCCTAAGGTTTACCTAATCAAATGAACTTCATCTAATTTTCTGCACCTAATATGTTTTGAGACAGGCCTGCTTGTTAGTTGTATCATTATCTATGATTGATAATTCCAGGCTCCAGCAAATTATAAGCTGTGATGGGTCCTATTACTTTTGAATTTTTGTCACTAAAGTATAGGCTCTTGCGGGCATCTTCTCTTCATCTTCTGCCCCTCTTTCTAGCATTCCAATTCCAGAGGACCCACTACAATCATGTTCCCCAACACATAGTATTCCATTGGCACCAAAAGTTACATCATCTCTTTTGACTCTCGATTCAATGCTAAGCAGGAAAATGAGAAATTGAACATGAGATCTCGGGTGCGTGTTAAGGTTCTCTTACCTAGTGTTTTCTTATGTTATAAGTTGGACTTGGAAGTTTTGTGGTGATTGGGGTTTTTTTTCTGGTAAAAAAAAAAAGTTTAGGAGAGATTAGTTACTCTCACCACTAGCGTCATGCAATACCCACAATTTCGAGAAAGACTTATGCGTGACATTAATTGCCAGGTGCCACCGGTATAGCTTTACGTAGGAATTTATAAATCAGCACAAACGAGAACTATTAGCAGCGTGACTCGAACCTTGATTAGGTGACACACAAGACATGAACCTTACCAATTAAGTCAAACTCTCGCTGGCGTGATTGGGCTTTTTTTGGTGGAACATGAGTTGGACTTGGGAGCATTTGAGTGTGAAGTTAGCTCTTTTTGGGTCTCCAGTATCTACCAACTTATAACATAAATTAGAACTTATAATTGTTTCATACTTGATTAAGGATTTAACGGTTAAGGAATCAGTCCATGCTATGAGTTAGTCCTTTCTAGAACGTTCGCTTTCTCTTAATATGCGCATTGCAAGGTTTATGAAAATTATGATTTTGGTAATTGTTGTAGGAAGTTTAATTTACCATCACATGTGTTCTTGATATGTTAATTTTGCCTCAAAATTGATAACTTTAAGTTATTGGTTTTGAATTTCAACAATTAGTGAACTTCACACCTTAAATCGCGAAATAAAAACTACTGGAACTTCGCTTTATGTACTCCAATTTTCTCCACATGCACACATTTATCTCTGAATTCAGCAAATTACGACAAAATCAAAGAATAAAAAATAAACAAAAATGTTTAAAAAGAGAAAAAAAAAATAATGTGGGAAATCATAATCCAAACAACAATTTGGCCAACAAATTATTAATATTTCTGGTGGGGTGGTTGTCCTTTTGATTATTGCTCATGGTTTGGTTGTTCTGCTGATCTAGGTTTGGCACTAATGCAATTTCGTAGGATTGTGTTTCATTTCTTTCTGCATTTTTTTGGTATGAATTGATTGATTTCTTGTTTGTTAGTTTAGTTAGTAGGTTTTATTGTTTTAAAGATTTGTATTTCTTATGCCGGAAAGAACTTGGCTGCTGTTGTGTTCCTTTATGCCTTTGCCCTTTTGTACCAATTTTTAGGGTTAACTCAATAATTATCATCAACAAAAAAAAATATTTAAAAAAAATATTATTATTAAGTAGAGTAAGAGAGTTCAAAACTATTACAATAATTTAAAAAACGCATAGATGAAATCCCAACACGCTATCTATTAAAATATTTTAGATAACATGCAAAAAGTTTGTGAATTTGGACCAAAATCAACAGTAAATCAAAACTAGAATCCATATGGGTTAGATATGCCAACCACCTCTGCAATAATATACGACAAAAACTGAAAAACCCATCATCAACAATTGCTTGCAACAATTGAAAGACCAAAAAGATTCATAAGATCACCATGCAATTAAATTAAGATAAAAATAATCAAGGTTGTTGGCGTGTCAAATCTTAAATTATGAACTTTTTGTGGGTCTCTTCTGCAAGTCACTTCATCCATTGGATTAGATTTAGATTATTTTACCAAAATTTGTTCTCTTCAAGTTAATAGACTCCATATTTCTTTATACCAAAAGCCAGCTGAAAAATACTGTTCATTAACAGTGTTTTGAGGAAATTTCCCTTCAGCTGCTATCCATTTCTAAATTTTTTTTTTTTTTTATGCGTTGCATGGTAGATTTACGAATCCGCACGTGCTAAAGTTCTGTTGGAGCGGAATGATTAAGTCGGTGGGGCTTGCATTAACTTAAGTTCTAATCTTCATAGACATTATTGTGAATTGCAGACAGTTGTTAAATCAATTAATTAAGGGTAACGTGCTCGTTTTCTTATGCGAAGTTTGAATTTTGTTTTTGTTTTTTGTTTTATTTTTATCTAGTTCTTCCCCTTCTAAAGTGGAGAAAACTTGTTTAAAAAGTATACATAAAGTATTATAAGTGTTTTTGAAAGGGTGTTGAGAAGCAAAACAAGTAAAATCTTGCCTAATAAGAATCTACCCATCTTGGATAAAAATTTCAAAGAATATTAAAGTTGGATGGCAACTTATACCTATTAGTCCATGTCCTTCCAAAGGGTCATAAGTCATAACCTCTCTGGAAAGGGATCATTTCCATCAAGTCCACTAAGTTCGTCCATCCGGACCATTAAAATTTGATTAAACGGCTAATGTTATATAATAATTTTTAATGGAGCCCCTTGTTTGTAGCCGTTAGATCAAATTTCAATAGCCCAGATGGATGAACTTAGCGGAAGGATCTGAAAAGGATCCCTTTTCAATCTCTCTATCTATCACTGTTTTGGTAACTTTGTTTAGTCACTGATTAGCTGTTAATTAAATTGTTTGAGAACTTCCTAGCCATGCCCAAAAAAAAAAAAAAAAGGCATGGGTTTTTAGTTTTTAGTAGTAGATTCATATATAAATTTTCCAAAAGATGAGGTAGCCGAAGATTTTACTTATCGAGTAGAGTGGCGTTAGAAGATTGATACTGTTGATCTCATCTAGCGAAACATTGCTTTACAAAACTCGTCATCCTGTCCCCTTTCAAAATTTGAAATATCAGACAAAGCCAAGGTTTGTTCAGATTAACGTAACAAATGTAACATGGAAAGGTTCATGGAACCAAAAACAAAGAGCCAGAGACATAGCAAAACACTGAAACATGGCTCACCTGAATTAATGGCAAACTTAATTAATTTTCGTTTTCTATTTTTTTCCCGACCAAAATTCACAGATTTCCAAGTACACTCTAAGTACGGTGCAGTACAAACTACAAAATCACAGTTTTTTTATTTTATTTTATTTTATTCATTTTTTATAGAGTAGGGTCATTTACATGCCATTCTTTAACTCTTACGCACGTTTGTTAATTTTTATCTATTAATCATTTTTAGTTCTTTTGATCTGATCGTCGAAAATCGACAAAATTATATAAACAATATGTTGATG